GGCGGGACGTTTCTTTATAATTTTCTCAAATAAAATCACTTTGACATTCATCATTGTCAAATTGATTATTGTCCTAAAAAGATTCTAAAATTCTATAAGAAACAAAAACCTTTTTAGTGCTTTTGAATACTGATCATTGCCATGAAGAACATCCTGATATACTATAGACAAGGAAAAAAATCATTTAACTGATTTAAATAATATTTAATATATCCTTGTCTGTAAAAGTAGCTGAACGTACTCATTGTAAAATTTGTTATGTAAAACAAAAAAGAAGTTATTATATCCGAAAATATTATAGGCAAGGAAAAAGTTCTTTTATTATAAAAATTCACTAAAATTCGGAATAAATATGCACCGTGCATGTCCCAGAGGATTGTAAAATCACATTTTATAAATTTTATCATTTACAAATACCATAAAGTTCAGTTAAGTTTTTTTGAGACGTGAGAAAATATCACGTGTAAATAGTTACATTTTTGTTTTAAATGATACTCAAGTCGAATTAAAGTCATAAACTGTATATAATTATTAAGTCTAATATAGAAGAGTTTTTTAAATTATTTTACATCAAACTGCAGCATATTGTGCTAAATTTTATATTACGTCATTAGAAATTCAAAATTTGATTATATTCTATTTGAATTTACTAGTCCACCATTATGTAGTATATGATCTTTATAATATATCATTCTAAATTATATTAAAAATTATTCAATTTGATTCTTCAAAAATTAATATTCATTAAATGTGTCCTCTGTCGTGTCAATGCAAGTAAATGCTGGTTAGAAGAGTTTTAAATATTCCATTCCATTGTTTTTTTAATTGAATTTAATTTCCATTGTTTTTTTAATTTCTTGTATAAAATGTTTAATTTAATTAACCGTCATTGATTCAATGACTTTTTAGTTGAAATCTTAATTTTGATTTTTTTTAAAGTATTTATTTATTTATTATCAAATTATTTATTAAAAAATTTATATGGATTATTATTCTTCTAAGTTAAGCTTAAGTTAGAACATTATTCTTAGTTTAGGTTTTTGTAGTTCAGTGAGTTTTCTATGGACTTAACAAACTTCTATTAATTATATAATTAATTTATATAGCTGAACAAATATTGTATATACAAATATCTTAATCTAATATAAAACAATTACTACATCGGCAATAAATTTTATTAGTCTTTATTCTTTATGAATATGCGCGATGACTTATTCAGATGTTGTTACCTACTACGTGTTCATAATGTCTTCGGCATTCGTGCCAAGAAGTCATTTGAAATTTAGATTGCCGGAAAAATAAAAATATATAAAAACGTACAGAATAATAATAATAACGAGAATGCCGAATATAACGAAACTTGATTTAAATTTAAACGTCACGACTTTTAGCTCTGAGACAAATTTGAAATATTCTCTTTGAAATTACTCAAAGTTTCATTGAATTGTATCCAGATGTATTATTAATCTGCAAAATCTTGCTAATTAATTAATTAAATCAATTATTATTAACAATTATTATATTAAGTTGTAGTAATCGCACAAAAATCATAAATGAAAATTTTTGTTTACTGTTTAAGAAGTCTCTGAATATTTTGGCATACCTTAGAAAAAGTGAATGTATGTATGTGTGTATGTTTGGATACAATTTATCGTCCACGATATCGGGAGCTCGAATCAGCTGATATAAATTATTCAAAAAACATTCGATTCCTACTGACGGGGGACTTGCTGATTAGTTTTTAGCAAAGGTAGGTCCAGCCTCTTTGGAGAAAAAGTGAAAAACTAGCAGTTTTTGAGAAAATGGCGCATTATTTTAAAATACTTGAAACAATTGTTATTTCTCATTAATAAATTTTTATTCATAATTAATTAGTTTTGCCATTAGTTTAGCTAAATAATTTAGTGTTCGTAAATAGAATGAGCACAAGTACAAGTTACAAGTTACAAGTACATATTTAATTTTATTTTTTTAAATTAGTATTTCGCATTAATTATATGATCATTCCTTTACGGTTTATCATGCGACTATACTATCTACTTTCAAGAGTTTAAAACTAAAGTGTTTTTATGCAAAAGCTTTGCCTAATAAGAGAGTTACTCGGTTTTCCCATAAACTTTTAATTAGCGCTTCGTAACATTTAACTCGTTCCTTCCTTTTAATTCTACGAAAAATCACGTTTGTATTTTTAATTATCGCTGCGGTGGCTTTTCATCTTTAAAGAATAAATTTACTGTGAAAAATTTATATTACAATTTAGAAATCGCTGTTACACTTATGACAAATATGCAAAATGTATACTATAATTTATATTATCTTTTAATTAAAATATTATCATCAAACTATGATTGGATATGATTATTTCAAGTATGACGATGAAAAAACATAACAATTTATATAGTTTAGCTTCTGTTTATTATATTTCATTCATGACTGATTATTTTTGCCAAGATTTTGGTTTGTAATTTATTATTGTTTGAAATTAAAATATTTAAATCTAAAATTTTTATTTTTATTTGGTTTCTATAAACCGAATTGAAAGCTGAGAAGTCATTTGCACTTTGAAACACTCCGATGGTATAATTTAGTTATGATAATTTAACTTGTAGTTTCGGTAAAACCTTATTAATATACATTATTTGCTCCTAAAGGCAGGCTGTCAATGTAGAAGGATTATATAAAAAATTATTCGATTTATACTAACAATTAGTTACCCATCCTCACAATACTAGGTGAATATCTTCACCAGATTGAAACTGTATACAATATTCTATTTCAAGAACTTGTTTCCATAAAGTTTTAAAATATGAAAATTTTAATAGTAATTATTGAGCTATGCAAATGCGCATAATATAAATCTTGGGGGTATAATTTCTTTGTGGACGGATGACTAAATATAGGGCAACTAAGTAAATGATCATTCAATTGAATTTTTAAGTTTGCTGATCGATTGTATAGTAGTTTCAATTGAATTTTTAAGTTTGCTGATCGATTGTATAGTAGACAGTCAGCAGTATCTGTATCTTTACAAAAAGTGGGCTCACTTAATTGCCAATGTGATTGTTCAGCCTACATAGCTTAGTTAGACAGCAAAAATTATTGGTTAGGATATTTTGATACATCCACCAAGTCCTGGCCTTACACCATCTGATTACTTTGAGTTTCGATCTTTTCAATAAATTTAAAAAAAAGTCCATAATGATGATGGATTCAAATTGTACCTAATTCAGGTTTTTTAATCAAAACCAGAAGTTTTATAAATGTGCTATACCTAATGATGCAGTTTAGAAGGTGACAAATAGTCAGTGAATAAAATGTATAATGCATTTTAAAATTAAGTTAGTTCCATGAAATAATTGTCTTTGATTTTCTTACAAAACTTCGCACTCACTTAACTGCGAACGTGATTGTTTAGCCTACATAGCCTAGTTAGATAGCAAAAATTATTGGTTAGGATATTCTGCCACATCCACCATATAGTCATATACCTTATACCATCTAATTAGTTTTAGTTTTGATCTTTACAATGAATTTAATAAAAATTAATAATGATGATGGTTTCAAATTGTACCTTAATCAGCTTTTTTTAAATAAAAATCAGAAGTTTTTTGAAAGTGGGATAATAATGTTGCTTGAAAGGTGGTGACACATAGATAGTGATCAAAATAGAAAATGCATTTTATATTAATGTTAGTTAGTTCCTTATTTGATTTTCTTACAGAAATCTGCACTCACTTAATTGGCAACGTGATCGTTAAGCTTATATAGCAAAAATTATTGTAGCTTCTTGAATTTAAAAAAAGTCAATGCTGATTATAGTTTCAATTGTACTTGGTTTAGGTTTTTCAGTAAAAACCAGAATTTATAACACATCTTAAAAGGTATTGAATAGTCAGTGATCAAAATGCATAATGCATTTCAGAATAAAATTAGTTCCGTGAAATAATTGTCCTAGATTTTCTTACAAAAATCCGCACTTACTTAGTTGCCAACCTGATAGTGAGCAGATTGATCACAACAAATGACCTGACAAACGATGTATTTGATAAAAACATTACTCATATAAGGTCAACTATTAAAACAAAACAATAAAGAATATTTATAACATAATATTTCTAACTGCAGTTATACATCTGTACTGCATTTTTAAAATGCAATAAAAAAAATATAGTGTTCAAAATATGATTATGAACAACTCTTTTCAAATAGTAGCACAACTGCTTAAGACACCACATTCCAGGAGGCTCAACCGTATCAAATTGTTTAATGGAACAATTTCTAAATTTTTTATAGTAAATCATCAAAATATGTTAGTTAATTTAATGTTTTTTTGTAGTATTATTATATTATTTTATTATTTATTATTATTATATATAATTATTATTATTAATTACTATTTTTATGTTATTATCTTTATTTATTCTTATTTAGTTTATTCTAGTTTGTTTATTTTCATTAGCATAACGGCTCATAGAATGTAATTACTGTTCTGATTGCTGTATAATAATAAATGAATAAAAAATAAAAATGTTAAAAAAGAACAACCCTTTTTGTTCTATTTATACAACAATAATTCATTATTATCAACAAATGCATGTCTTGACCCAGTATTAAATCTAAGTTCTTTGAATAGTCGGCATGTTTAATATTAGACAAATAACTATGCAAAAATATGACAAATGATTTCGGGCATGCGCAGAACCGATTTTACTACCAAATCTACTAGATCATACTTTTAAGCGGGTGCATCACGCGACAGCGCTTCAGTCGGCATTTGGCCATCGAATCGAAGGTGTGTGTTTGTCGATTAATCGCCCTGGCCGAGACCGCGTGTTTGCGTAAATATTAAATTGATCTGATAAATAATTATAGTAAAAGCTATATAAAAAATATCATATTTTATTAGAAACATATTGAAATTTTGTTTTATGTGAAAATTTTCGTGTATTTAACGTTGTTAAAAATAATTTTATGAATTGTTGAATAAAATCGTGTTTGTGGATAAATGTGCTTAAGAATGTTATAGTGACTTGTATATAGGTGTGATAAAATAATAGTACTTTGCAAACTAATAATACTTTGCAAACAAACATTGTAAGTATAAATTGATCATTATTAACTTATTAGAAAATAAAAAAATAAAAAATAAACTTATCGTAATGGGCCGACAATCGAATTTGAAAATTTTTACATTTCTCGACGTTTTGAAGGTTTTTGAACATTTTGGCATACCTTACAAAAAATGGATGTGTGTGTGTTTTTATGTATGGATACAAATTTCCACTCACGTTTTCGGCCGCACGGATCAACCGATTTGAATGGCTCAAAAAACATTCGATTCCTATTGATAGGGAGAAGAGCTGATTAGTTTTTGGCAAAGGCAGGTCCAGCCGTTTCGGAGATACGGAGCAAAGAGTGCAGAAAATAAAAACCGACTTTTTGAGAGAACGGAGTATCCGATTTGAATGATCTAAAGAACATTGAATTAGTAATGATTGGGAGAAGTGTTTATTAGTTTTTGGCAAAGGCAGGCCCAGCCATTTCGAATATACGGAGCTAAATATGTAAAAAATAGCAGTTTTTGAGAGAACTAAGCGTCTGATTTAAATGATTCAAAGAACTTTCTGCTTGTCTTAACAAAATAATTGATTTTGGAAAAAAAATTGTTTCAACTTTTTTTTCAAAAAACAATTTTTCTGTATATCGAAAATAATTCAGCTTTTATTTTTAATTCTGACTATAATTCTTATATACTTTAAACAAATAATTTCAACTTTACAATTCAGTTTATATAATTCTTATAAATATTAAACAATGTTACAATATTAATAATAATCTATTTGAAAACATTCAGTATTCCTGGAACATTTTGTTACGGTACGGGAAGTTCCAGCAATTTGCCTTAAGGCAGGATGCCCTACATCCCACTAGTTAATTATTAATTTGTATGTTAACATGTTTATCGCCATGTCAGACATAAAGGGTTGTCATAGAAAATCGGGTAAAAGAAGAAAAAAAAAATTAACACTTTTGCTGACGTGAATGCTATAGCATTTATTTTCATGGAGATGCGAAATGACATGAATGCTATAGCAATCAAATTTTAAAAACAATTATTTAGAATTTAATTTTATATGACCTCGCGTTTTTGTAGTTATTGTACCTGTCGAGGTAATGACTCACCTATACTTTAGGTTTTTCAGAAAAAAATTCAACACGTTTGCGGACGTGAATGCTATAGCATTCATTTTCATGGAGATGCGAAATGACATGAATGCTATAGCAATCAAATTTTAAAAACAATTATTTAGAATTTAATTTTATATGATCTCGCGTTTTTGTAGTTATTGTACCTGTCGAGGTAATGACTCACCTATACTTTAGGTTTTTCAGAAAAAAATTCAACACGTTTGCGGACGTGAATGCTATAGCATTCATTTTCATTGAGATGCGAAATGAAATGAATGCTATAGCAATCAAATTTTAAAGACAATTATCTAGCATTTAAATTTATATAGTCTTACGTTTTTGTAGTTATTATACCTTTCGAGGTAATGACTCACTCATAGTTTAGGTATTTCTGCATTATCTATGACTAATTAGCTAGGGCAAATACATTGCGTAAAATAGAAGCGTAATATTTGACGTGGAAGCTATAGCATTCATTGTATACAACGATTAAAATATGATATTCTGACTACCCTTATCAACGGTGTTTAATCAAATTTTGCAAATCACAACAATTTAAAAATAAAATGACTGTTAATTTTAGTATCTTGCTGAAACTTATACTGTGCCCGAATATGTTAATATGGAGTCATGTCAATCACATATATGTGTGATATAAAAACTTTTATTTTTCTAGGAGTTTTGGCAAGAAAAATTTCATTGATACATCAAATTTCCTTGATACATCTTTAACTAGATTGTCCAATAAAGTTGCGAGGTAAAATTTTTTCTGATAATTGCAAGACTTTTAACGTGTTAATATTTTTCAACTATATATGTATCACATTCTGTGAATTTTATTTGCTTCCTCCAACAATTGCATCCATGTTTAACACGTTCACGGACAATAGACGTTTCAGTAAGGTACTAAAATTAAAAGTCTGCAAATAATTATTTCAATGCTCATCATATTTGTTTACCAGTTAATTGTGATTGACAAATTTATTCGTCATGGAGAAGTTACGAAATTTTGTGTACGTGTTAATGAGTATACGTCGTTACGCGTACAAATCTTGGCCTATTGGCTATTTAAATTACAACATTTGACAAAAAAAATCTGAAATTTAAGATACCTAAATTGTTTGCAAATAGGTGTAATAAATTATTGCAAAATGACATTTTACCAGAACAAATATTTTACCTTGATTCTGACGACACAAAACTGTGCGCACATTTCATTGAGAGCGTCCCAGTTTTTTTGGTTAAAATACAAACAAATTGCCATTTATATTTTTTTTGTAATGATTTAAAACACTACAACTTACGACTAATACTTAAATTTAGTTAATTACTCCCATTAATATAGCATTTATCTAAAGTTGTGAATTGAAATATTATTTGTGCGACACATCCAAATGATTTAACACATTAATCGCCACGAGCATATCAGAAAAAAATTCTCATGAGCTATGGTATCTTTATCGGATAATGAAGATCTACTTAATGTGTTAAATATAAGTCGATCACAATAAAATGTATACCAAAACCATTTTTGATATATAATAATATAGTTGTAAGACATAATATAAAAAATGGTTAGTTCATAGGCTATTGTGCCGTATTTTTAAATATTTTGTCAATTTATAATTTTACTTTGTTTTCAAAATGTTTATTGGTTTATATTTCTTTCATGTATGTTCTTTTTATTTTGTTGATTTGTACGTTTATATTGTTTGTATACGTCACACAGCAAATGTAATATTAGACAAGGCTACAAACATTAAAGTCGTTTTCAAAATTTCCAGCTTCATTTCTATTTATTAATTAGACGTATGTCCAAAAACGATTATACATTATTCAGCATCAAAAATATTTCACCATATATATCTACATGTAATTATATTTAACTTCATGTAACTTGATTTGATTGGTCTGATTCTCGAAACTTTTGCATGATTCCCATTTATCTGTTTGACAAAAAATTCTTTGAAGGGTTGATTATGTGGGCAAAATATAATTATCAATTGCATTACTGTCTGTACTTGGCAACCTAGAATATTTTTACCATTGATGACAAATTATGCAATGCAATTTATATTTAAATTTTATTATTGTCAAAAAAAATATTTCAAAATAAAATTATGTTTTGCATAATACATATTCAGAAATAGATATGGAATGAGATTTGCATATACAGATATATCAAATATATATATATATATATATATATATATATATATTATTTGTTTAAAAATTTAATATTTCATTTAAATTTATCATTTAAACATATCAGCTCATAAAAAGTATATAAATTATGCGAAGTAATAGAAATATTCAGCCCTTTTACTAACTGCCGTAGTAATTTCTTCTAAGTAGATCAATCTATAACAAAAAATATTATTGACTCAAAATAAATATTACTTTTTAACTACACCATAATAATGATTTGTTTATTTCACCGTAAATTTATTTTCTTAGAATGTGATAAATATATTATACAAGTATGACCACTTTCATTACTTTCTATGCAATTTGCTAAACTTAAATATTTTCTTCAATTTCTTTAATATTATATTAAATAAATATTTTTCTTCACTTCATTAATATATAAATGACACAAATTATTTTTCATCTACAAAATATCTCTCAGATAATATTTTTCTCATTATTTATCAACATATTTAAAAATTCTTAATTATAAAAATGCATTAAAATTTAAATTAATAAATATAAATAAAAATTAAAATTACATGCAAAATGCAGGCGATTGGAATTTTTGATCATTATCAAATAGAATTGCATTATGGTTCAAATTTAAAAATTATATAAGTGCCTCTAAAATTACATTTTTAAAATAATTCCATTCTATTTCATCTTGCATATTACGGTAACATTTCTATCATTATTGCCGCACATTATATAAATATTTTATGAACAATGTAAGCAGTTAATGAATTTTTTGAATTCCGGTAATAAATTTAATAAATACCAGAATGAAGTATGTTATTAATTATATTACCTACAAAGTTATATATAAATGTGAAGTATCATTGAGTAATATTTTATGTGTGGATTATTTAATTATTTGATTTCAATTTAGTTATTTGTTCAATTGATTACGAATTTCCATTTACAGAATGTAGCACTTGATATGAAAAATTAATTGTTGGAATTTGCAGTAAAATGTGAGACTTTGTTAAACAATGCAATTGACTATAATTTTAAATGCTTCTAAAAATAAAATGCCTAACTCATTTTTACGATACTTAACGCAAATGAATTTTCCAATAGTAATTTGTAGACAGAATAATATTTGACTAATAATCTATGTAAGTTAATAAAATTGATTCATATGGTAGTTGTTTCATTTAATTATGTTAATGATACTTTGCACTATCAAAATTATTTTTAGTATATATTAAAAATTAAATGTGAGCAAAAGCAACTATAGGTAAATTCTAGCTTGAAGTAATATGTTTATTATTTTGTTTTCAGATTTTCGCATATGAATTTTAACGCTTGAGTGAATCATGAAGTTACGCAAGATGTCACCTTGTAGGACAACATTTTACCTGATTTTGCTGTCGGCATTCTGCGTCAAAGCTGAAATACCAGGTAAGAATTATTCTATCAGAAATAATGCACTCAGTTTATACATAGTCAGGTGTATAAAAAAATGAAAATCTGAAAATAATAGTAAGGTGATAAATTCGTTACTTAAAATTGTGTGGATTAAATACTTTCTTTGTTTGGTGGTAGTCCAATCTGATTACGTTTAATTAATATCAGATTCATTTATAAGATACCTTTACAATCAACCATATCAGTGTCACAACTCCTAAAGTGGACTTCAGATGATTCAAAGCTTAAGTAGAAAATATTCCTGAACTTTCGAGTTTCATTTACTGCTTGTTAATTTTGTTTTTAATTTTCGAATTCCGTGGTTTTATGCAAAACTCTTTGCGCAAAGCTGTATCGAAGTTTTTAACAGGATTATATTTTGTGTCGGTGTAAGGATTCTTTCTTTGCTTTGTGCGGCGCAAACAAGGATTAAAAATAATCATGGTTCGGTCTCTGGCTAATTATTAAATTAGTATAACTTCCGAGTTACTCCTCTTTTCATTAAAGTTTTTACCATTAATGTATCATTATGAATAACGACATTATTATAAAGTGTTACAGAGGCAAATTATTTTCTCTGGATGTTTATACAAGCTTGGAAAATGAGTAATTCCTACGCTTTTAATATAAAAAATACTTTACAGTAACTCAGTAGGTAATATTTTGAACAAAGTAAAAATTATATTTTTTCAAATATTTTTTTTGATATATAGTATGTGTTTATATAAATTTTACATTTTCGTCAAATCGTGTATTATATTGAGGGTAGGAAAAAATCACAAATTGTTGATCATATCAATATTTTTAGAAGTATAGAAACAAGCTAATCAATCACCCAAATACATTAGCAAACTCATTGATAACAGAGAACTATCGAAGAAGATTGAAAAGAAAAGCGCCATTCGATCTAAGCCATCAACTCTCCTGAAAAAAAAATAGAAATAACTTAATCATTATTTATAAGTAATTATTCAATAATAAAATATTGTGAATTCTATATAAAAAGGAAAAACAACTACTGAGTTGTTTTTTCCAACATGACAATGTAGTAAACAATGTCCTTTCTCGGCGGACTATTGTAAATTCATTAAATTTACTAAATGTTCTTTACTGGACAGTTGTAAATAAAAGAGCTAATAAAAAAAATCAATACTTTTATATTTAATTAACGCCAACCGGCTAAATAACAAACTAAATAACAATTGTATGTCTATTCTACTACTCGTATGATTATGATGTATCGTAAAATTATACATCGAGCAAAAAAAGAAAAGATTTTAAAGCATCTTAATTTATTCATATATTTCTTTTTTCTACTCGATATTATCCTTTTGAAAAGAATTTCAAGAGTTTATTCATACTTTTCAACAGCAAAGTTAATATATTGGAAGAAGTAAGACGATTTATTTTTTTTCTTTTACTCAATTAAAATATATTGCAGTAAAGAAATTGTGCTTCCAATGCACTAGAAAATACAATAAAATACTAGAATTCTCAATAGTTCAACTCATGGTGATTTGGATGCAAGCGAAATCTTTATCTTCAGAATAAACAATTGAACATTCTATCTAAATAGCTGATTCTAATTTTTGTCGATAAAGCGAATTATTTACCTAACTTACCTTAAGGCAACAAGCCACTCACAACTAGCTTCTTCAGGCTATATTACGTTTAAAATTACCTTAAATCATCTTAAACACATCATATGTATATTTGAACATGAATATGTAACTAGTGGTGTATGGCATCGTGCCTTAAGGAAAATTTGAGCTAAGAGCTTATAAATTGGATGACGACAATTATATAAATTTGCATGAAAAGCAAAGGAACAAAACTTTATGAAGGGTTGTTAAAATGAAGCATCTTGTCTCATATTTCTAAGAATTATATAAACCGAATTGCCTAGTTAAAATCACTCATATTTATTTCATGTATATAAGTGAGCTTTAGAATTTTAGTTGGAATTTAAATTAATTTCCAATTTATTTTCGATATATAAAAAAAAAATTTGATCGAAAATTTGAAAAAAATGAAACAAAAAAAATTGTTTTGCTTTCACCAAAAACAATCATTTAATCAATACAAGCATAAGATTTTTTGAATCATTAAAACTGAAAACTTTGGCTTTTCAAAAGCTGCTATTTTTGGCACAATTAGCTTTGTATCTCTGAAACGCCTAGACCTGTATATGCCAAAAACTAATCATCACTTCTTTCCATCATTACGAATTGAATGTTTTTTAACTTCCCGTAGGGTAAGTTATAGTAATCGCAAAAAAATCAAAAATGAAAATTTTTATATATCTTTACGTTTCAAAGGTTTCTGAACATTTTGGCATACCTTAGAAAAAATGGATGTATGTGTGTGTGTGTGTGTGTGTGTGTGTGTGTGTGTATGTATGTATGTATGTGCGTGTGTGTATGTATGTGCGGATACAAATTTTCGTCGACGATTTCGGGAACACGGATCAACCGATTTGGATAATTCAAAAAACATTCGATTCGTATTGATAAGGAGACGTGCTGATTAGTTTTTGGCGAAGGCAGGTCTAGCCGTTCCGAAGATACGGGGCAAAAAGTGCCGAAAACGGTAACTCAGTTTTTAAGAGAACGGAGCATCCGATTTGAATAATTCAAAAAACATTTCACTTTTATTGACAAGATGAAGAATCGATAAAATTTTCATGAAGGTAGCTCTAGCGGTTTCGGAGATATGGAGAAAAAAGTAAAAAAATGAGCCATTTGGCGGTCAAAAATGATCATTAGACATATGCACATCAAATTATCAGATATTATATAGAGATTTTAACAATAAGTATACATTTTGTTAACATTTCTATGGGTTCCGTACCAATGCTTATGCGTTAGACAGCGACGCGGCGCTTACGCGCTTTATATTTTGTCCCTATGCAGTTAAAGCAATACGATTGCTTTGAAAAAAAAGTTCAGATCTTCCACAATATGTCAAAATAAAGAAAAAAAATTTTTATTTAAAAAAAAAAAAAAAATAATTTTTTTTTTTTTTTTTTTAAATTTTTTTTCAAAAAAAAGTAATTTTTTGTCTAATTTATAGTTTCTCAAAATCTTATTTTTTCAAAGTATTTTTTCAAAAATGTTAATCGTTTTTAAAAAAATAATAATTTTTGGTACGGGAAGTTCCAGCAATTTGCCTTAAGGCACGATGCCTTAATTGCCTTAAGATAGAATTCCACTTACAGCTAGTTAAATCATTTAAATCGGATGGATGCTCCGTTCTCTCAAAATTTCGATTTATATTTTTGGCATTCTTTGCTCTGTATCTCCGTAACGGCTGGACCTGTTTTTGCCAAAAACTAATCAGCACATCTCCCTATCAATAGGAATCGAATGTTTTTTGAACCCTTCAAATCGGTTGATCGATGCGCCTAAAAACGTGAACGAAAAATTGTGTCTATACATACATACATACACAAACATCTATTTTTTCTGAGGTATGCCAATAGGTTTAGAAACCTTCAAAACGTGAATATATGCAGAAATGTTCATTTTTGATTTGCGGTCCATTACTATAACTACTGTGAATATTATATCGAATGGGAAAACTATTGAGTTGTTTCCAACATGCCCCTTTAGTATATAATGTCCCTTTACCGCCGACTAATGTAAATTCCACAAATTTAGTAAATGTCCTTAACTGGTAAATACAAGAGAGAATAATAAAAAAAAAAAAAAACTATAAATACCCTACGGGAAGTTGAAAATTACTGCTAAATATCATATCCTTTGTTTTTCACATACAACAATAACTAATTCCGTGCGACCCTGTAAGCCGATCAAACGCGAACGCGAACGCTTCATGATATCTTTTCCACGAAGAATGCGCTCGCGTATCGCCTGTTAGTTTTAATAGCACATTCTCGTTTATGGATTGATTGACAGACTGCGGGGGTTGAGCTCTGTGTAAATAGGGGCGCAAGGTGAGGGGTGCCTTGTCATGTAATTAAATCAATCAGAAAATCAATGTGTATGTGCCGCCTGTACGAAATGCAGGTAGGAAATTTGTGCCGTCCGACAACGATGGTGCTGCTGATTTCAGTATTGACAGACCTCGTTAGAGAATTGAGTTTCGATATATTTATAGCTGATTGCAAGTAAAGTAGTTGCTTTAATTATTTTGTACATCGTACATCTATTTCTAGAATTAGTCTAGTATACATATATGAATTCAAAGAACCACCCGTATTGTAATTGTGAAAACGAGGACTAGCCATAACTAGTTCCGGTTACGATCCCAAACTTAGCTAGCTCCATATAAAGCAGCACGGTATCAGATTTTTGCACGAACTTATAGATCACAAATGTGGATTTCAATTACGAATAGGCTTTCATGCGGTGAATATTACTGCATGATATTGATAATAGCAACAAATGTAAAAAATATACCGTTTTAAATAAAGTTATATTGTGATACTATTAGGAAAAAACAACAATTTTTCAAGCAACCCATACTTAAAATAAATCACAACAATTTCAAAGCGGTCAGTTCTCAGATAAAATAGTAATGTTATGACAATGCTAACTCCATATCAAGTAGCATGGTATCAGATTTTTTTTGCAAGATCTTATTCACAAATGTGGATCTCAAGTACGAACAGCATTTTGTGGGATGAATGTTACTGCATTATATTAATAATAATAAACGTATTTTTTTATTTTATTTTATTTGGCTTCTTATAAAAGTAAAAAATATAGTGTTTCAATATAGTGATATTGTGATATTATTAGGAAAAAACAACTGTTTTCCAAGCAACCCATACTCTTAATATATCAAAAAAATTACAAAGCGGTCAGTTCTCAGTTAAAATAGTAATGTTATGGCAATGCTAAGTTATCTAATGTTATGGGTCTATATTCGTATTAGTTGGTAGTAACGAGATGTCAAAAATCTGTTTTTGCTATGCGATCAGGCTTTTTACACATAAAACATAACTTCACGTTTAGTTTCAATTATTATTT